AGTCATGTGACTGGTTTCTTAAGGGTGTTCTACTCAGCAGGGTGCACACAGAACTGGCTTTGTTCTTTTTCACAGCTATTCCTGCAAAACCTGCTCCATCAGCTTGTTTATCACCTCTGGGTAAAACTTCAGGCAAGTCTAGTAGTTTTTCCAGGCATTCTGTGTAATAAGACATCCTGTAATCATTTATAGGTAATTTTATGTTTTTTAATTTTTTTATTTTTAAAGAATACAAAATAGTGGTAGAAAAAAAAGTATTAGAAATGTTACAAGGTCTATGGCCATACCACCCTGAACACGCCTGATCTCGTCTGATCTTGGAAGCTAAGCCGGGTTAGGACTGATTAGTACTTGGATGGGAGAAATGATACAAGATTTCACTAAGCAAAGTTATACGAATTCTATAATGGTTGCTGTATTACATGACGCTATCTTCATATTAGTTGTTCAGATTAGTCTTGTAAGATTTGTTTAAAGAAAAAAACATGGGGCCAAGGAGATGGCTCAGTAGAATAAGCGCTTTCCAGGCAAGCGCAAGGGTCTGAGTTCAATCCCCGGTTCTGCCAAAAAAAATTTTAAAAAACAAGAAATTCAAAAGATGAAAAAAATAAATCAAGAGTTAAAAAAAAAGTTTTTAGGCATTAACTGCTCCTTTCAAAACACCAGCAGAAATTGACAATGCAGTTATCCAAACTATTCTGCATATATACCTAAATATATTTTCCCTTCTTTCTTTAGTCCTTTTCCTCATCATTTACGGTTAATCTTAAACACCAGTCTAATCTGTCACCAAAACTCTGGATCATTGTCTTTCAAAATTTTTCTCCCCTGACCAGCAAGATAGCTCAATGATCTCAAGCCCCTGATTAGGCAAAGGGTAGGGACCGTGGTTCCATCTCCAGCACCACACGCTGTGCCAGCCCCACCACCAGGGTGGGCTGAGCCAGCTACAAAAATAATAATAATAATAATAATTTCTCTTTTTCCAGCTTGTGCTTGTCTCAGACTTGGAGAGTGAAGTGGAAAATACAGGTCCTGGTCAGTATCTTCTTTTTTCATTCCTCCCTTATAACTTGAAACACCTTTTTTGGTTTCTTCTAAGTTAGAGCTTGGGAAAAAAAGTATGGGATGGAAGAGGTTTTATTTTTAATCTGGTCCTGGATCCCACAGAAGAACAATGTCTGATCTTCTGTGTTTCTGCGGGGACACTCAGGGGGCTGCACAGAGCTCCTCTTGCTAGCAGTGTGTGACGCAAGCCTTCTAAATTGGATCATGTTTCCCTGGCTTGCTGCTCATGATCTTCCTTCTTTTCACCCAAGAGTGTATGTCCAGCCTTTTCCTGCAGAGCAGTCTTTCTCCATAACAAGCACCCCAGCATATGTGTTTCAATGAAGGTCATTGCTAGCTGTCCTACAAGGGGGTGTAGGCTATGCCACCACCCCAGGCTTCTGTAGTTAAATGCCCTGCCCTTCGCTATTGTGCCTCACGCATCGCAGATGGCAGATGATTATGTGGAACATCAGAGGGTGAAACTGTACATGTGGCAATTTTGAGCCTAGTGGCTCCTAAAACCATCACAGAAAAAAGCCAAACCATGGAAGAAAAGGCATGTTAGATGGAACAAGATTTTGATTATAAATAAATTCCCCTAAATGTATGAAGCTTAATGCCTAGGAGACTCTTTTAAGGCATTGGTTTAAATCCTAGTTCTCATAATTATTGATTTTATAACTTTGAGTAATCTTGCTGCCTTTCCACATACCTTGGCTTTCTCAGCTATAAAACAGAAAGAATAATAATTTGCCTCCTTAGTTCAATTGCTGTGAAGATCAAAGGAAAAAAAAATATGCGCAAAGCATTTAATACATTCCTGGCCCATAAGTACTCTGGAAAAGGAGATGCTATGGTTATTGTTACTATTGATATTTTGATATCCTTATGCATTAAGCAAGACAGCTTGAAATTAGAATAAATAGGAGAGAATTACTGGAGTAGGAAGCTGGGTCTGCAAAGATGAATTTGAGCCCTGGCCATGGGTGAGTGGTTCCTTCCCACCCAGCTCCAAGTGGCATCTGCAGCCCTTGAAGGTTGAGTCTGGTGGAGGGGGGACAAGGAGCAGAGGAGAAGCTGTGCTCTGGAGGCAGCTCGCAAAATGGAGGCCACAGGGAGGTAGTCAGATAGGAGTGCAGGGGACAGTGGAGGGAGCCCGGGCCAGCACAGCCTGGTACTTCTGATAAGCGGAGTGGAGCCAGGGTGTGAATGGCTTCCACGAATTGAACAAAGGCCCTGTGTGGAGAGGGGACACCAACTAACCGTGAAGAAGGACTAGAGACTTTCTACTCAGGCATGCACCCTAACTGTCCTGGGGTTGACCTACCTTCCTATTGGATGCTTAGGGTTTTGTGTATATGCACAGCATCTCATGCCTGCCATCAATGGTGGGAAAACTCTCATGCAATTCAAAATTGAAAGTAGGAAAGGGTAAATTATGCAGGAACATCCCCAAACAGGAAATATTAAAAAATGAAAACAGGACAAAGAAACCCAAAAAGTGTTGCTCACTCTGGTGGTATATCCCATTCTGCAATACACTTGCTTACTTACAAAACACATCCTCATTTGAGAGTGGAGTCTTGACATTTGTGAGGTGTTTCTGGTGAATTCTTCTTGGCTAACCAAGACCAGGGAAGGCTGGGTAATTGGGTTACTTTCTCTGCAGGAGGCCACTGGGTAGGAAAGGATGAAAGCATAGGATATCTTGCCACTCGTAGTAGGCTTGGCTTCCAACAAGGGGAGGACCTAAGTGCAGGGTGCAGTGGCTGTCTACAGGGCTAACGTCACACAGCACCTGCTGGCCACACTGGACTGTGCGAGCCAGCACCACACTCTAACTAGCTGGCTTCATCAGCTACCTGTTTGCTCTTACCCAGTCTGAGATGTCCCCATTACCATCTTCTTGGAGAGAGACACCAGCTCAGGGGACCCATGGACAGAGGAGTGGGGAAGGGAGCACGGTTGAAGGGAGGTAGATGCTTGTCCCTGGCGTCCTGGACTGCCTGAGGAAAAGCAGGCACGATTGCTTCGCACCCCAGTGGACCAAAGACTTCCCAAATCCTAGGCCTTGAGTTTCCTGCAGGCTCATCCCACGCTCACCCAGAGCCAAGGCTCCACTTTTCTGTTGCTGGAGTCACTATTCTCTTAGCCCTGAGAAATGCAACGTGACAGGCATCCGTGCAGCTGTTGGAGCCCTTCCCACCAGCCGGTGGCCGTGGCACGACTCTTACGTGAAGTTTCCTTTCTTAGCACTTCCTTCTCCTTTGCCATCACCCTGGGCCAGGACCTCACTGGTTCATTTCTACAACACTGACATAGACACTGTCTCTGTGTTTTTTTCAACTGGGCAGGTCCCCAATGCCACTTCAGCCTTAGATCTCATTTCAAACTGTCACGCTTTTGTCAAGGCCCTCATTTCCCGCATGCCTGAGGTTCTACTGCATGAAGTTCCAGCTTTCCTCACGAGTGTCCGATGCTCCACAGTGTGGCCCCAGCTGACACAAAGGCTTTCTCCACTTCCCCATCTGGGGAGCCATCCTTCCATGCCCACCTGCACCCCAGTAAGTGCACGCTGGATGTGGCATGGTGCTTCTGCTCCAGGAAACCTTGCCAAGGTGCCCCCACAAGGACCACCCTAGTGAACTCCACTATCCAGGATGAGGACTCAGAGACCGAGGTGGGACTGTGCTCTTAAAGGTGTGCTTGCTTTACTGGGGCTGGAAAGTGTGGGCTCAGCACCAAAAAGCGTTTGCAGCACGAAGCTCAGTTCATCCCTATGAACATTCATAGAACACCTGAAGCTCACTTCAGCCCTATGAACGTTCATAGAGCATCTGGGACAGGTGGGTAGGAAAATACACCACACCTGCTATGGAACAGTCTTCAGTCTGCAGGTAGATAGAAATTAGGGCCAGTAGCTTAACAGACCCAGAACAAAGAAAGAGACTGGTAGAGTCTCATGCCTTTGTTCTACGCTGAAGCCCCTACAAGGCAAGCACAGAAAAATATTACCTTCATTTTCCAGATGACAAGATTGCTTACCTGCCTGAGAGTTTAGGTGGCTTGTTTACTGTCACAGAGTTAATAGCAGGTCCAGGTCGCCTAGGTGGATGGTCTTTCTAATGCACGACTCTGCCTGCACCCAGCAGGGCCGTGAACCTCCTAGAGCAGCGAGAAGCATGCTTGGGAGCAGCGAGAGTGGACATGGAGCTGCGGGGCCTCCAGGGAAGATGCTTCGGACCTGGGAATGGGAGAAAGCCTGCACTTTCACTCAGTGAAGGAAGGAGAGAGGGAAGAACATTCTGGAAGTGGAGAAACTTGGTGAGCAAAGCTACAGTGTGGTAGGGGGAGCGGGCCAAGGGAAGTCTGCTGGCCCAGTGAAGATGGCTCGACTTCTCTCCTGAGAAGCTGAGATAAGCAGGAAAGAGAGGCCTGAGTGTCTCCAACAGATAGGCGGGCTCCTCCCAGGGCCAACAGTGCCGGTGTGGGGACAGTGTAGCAGAGGACAGAGTGCTCCTTCTCTAGTAGCATGGACCTGGGCCCCGGGAGAGGAGAGGCTGTCTGGTACCCCTCAAGCAGGAGCGCCTAAAGCAGAAGCAGGACCGACTAGTGGCAGGTGTGCTGGAGGAAGGGTCTGTGGCGCAGCTGGCTGCCGAGGTGGGGGGAGGGGCGTGGCGGGGCGCTAGTGCCCTGCCCCCACTGGAGAGGCAGAAGTGGGGCTTTCAGAGTAGACAGGAGGCCAGGCCAGGGAAGGAGAGGGAGTGAAGAGAGGTTCATCCCGGGGCCCCTCAGGAGACACTACCTGGATGCAAACACGTCAACGTGGGGAGGTGGGCGGGAGTCTTGGGGGGGGGGAGGGCAAGACGGTCTGCTAAGACTGCCACGATGCACCCCCTTCCTGCACCAGCTTCTCCTCTTTCTCCCATTATTCGCTTCAGTTTAGGGGGACAGAAGTACGTGAGCGCCACGCGGACAGAGCGGGGCCAATGCAATGCAGCCTTCTTCCCGCCGAGAGGTCAGTGGGCTGCCCCGCATCCCCGGCTTCTCCGCTCCAGCTCGGCAGTCCCACGAGCTCTCTTGCTTTGTCCTCACCCGAGGCAGGAGCCTTTCCACGTCCCAGGGGTGTGTCTCAAGGCTGTGCCTCCTGGAGAGTGGGCAGAGTCACCTCCGCCCAGGGGGCCCTGGCTCTAACATACTGGTGCTCTCGCCCTTCTCTGCCTGTCCGCCCTGCCCCCCGTCTCTCCCAACCTTCTCTGTCTTGTGTTTCCCACCTCCCTGTCACTCCCACAGAGGTCTCCAGAAGATGGACTGTCTCCCAAGTGGAGCTGTCGCTGGGCCTTGGTCAGGAGGGCGCTGCTGACGCTCCTGCTTCTGGGCCTGCTCCTGGGATCTTCTGTGCTGTGGTTCTACATCTTCACGAGCTGCGGTCCTCGTAAGCAAGATTCTGGAATCCCCCAGCCTAGGCTGCCTCTTTCGGTTGTGGTCCCAGGTCCATGCTCCTGAGCTCCTGGCCCCTCAGGGCCTTCTCACTGATCCTCAACTTCCCTGGGGATTTCAACTTCTTCCTCCCTGATGCTGGGCCCAACCCCTAGCCAGACCTCTGGCCAACTGGTCACTTTTGTTTCTCACTGGCCATTCCTGCGCCAGCCCCTTGGGGGAGCCCCGAGCCTGTCACGTTTCTCTAGCTCTGCGCTGTTGCCCACAGCCCCCTGTGAGACGCCCGTGTGTATGGATCTCCTGGAGTACTACGCGGCCTCTGGGAACAGCAGCGTAGCCCCCTGTGCCAACTTCTTCAACTTTGTGTGTGGAGAACCCGGAAATATCACCAACTCTTTCCTTGCCCTTGAAGATGAAAACAAAAGGCTGCTGCGGAGACTCCTGGGTAGGAAAGAAAGGGACAGAGTCTCTGGGCAAGTAGGTGGCCAGTCTATCACCGTCACGGCACCCTTCCACTCTGAGTAACTGGCGAGCAACCAGTGGGCACCAACCTCTGTGGACCCATCCGGGACTGCTTCCTCATCAATTTCCGGTCAACAGATCTTCCTTTGTTCCATCTCCACTGGTCTCTGTACACACCTCTTCTTTGTCTAAGTTCCATCCTCTTTTTGATGTATCCATGATTCCTCCACTCCCTTCGATTGCTCCTTTTTCACAAGTCTCACTTGTTATTTTCTGTGAATTTTTAATTTCTGTATATCTTTCTTCCTCCCTCTCCATCTCTTCAGTGCAGCCTGAACCTTGTTTTCCCCACTCGAGCTTCCAAATGCACTCTCAGTGTCTCCACGTGAGCACCACCGCCTTCTCCCTCCACTTCCCAAATCCCCTTCATCCCAATGACCTCTTACTTCTCCTCTGAAATCTGCTGGCCAAGATGGACTGGAATAAATGAGACTGTAGGCATGAGTGAATGGAAACTCGGGTGGGAAGAAAGAGGCAAGAGTAGGGCAAGGAGGAGCGGGGCTTCGTTACTGCTAGAGTAAGGGAATGGTAGAATGCCAGAGCAAGAAGGGAGAATTGGATGGAGGTAAGGAATGTTTTCAGAGAAGGTGTGTGAAGAAGGAAAACCCATTGCTCATACTGAGCAGAGCTGAGAGAAGGCCTTGAGGCTGTGTAGGGGCTTGGATGTGGCAGAGGGACTGAAGGGATGGTGCGAGATGTTCGCATGTGGATAATTTAGATGAATAGGTCCGGGATCACAGTGTATTGACTTATTTCTTGGGATCAAGTGGTAAGAAGACTGAACTAAGTGAATCTTTCATTTATTCTCTTCTCTAGACTTTCCCTTAAGAGTTTCCTTTCACAAAGTCCCTCAACATCTGATTTCCTGAGTTTCTCTGATTTTTCACTCATCTCTCCTTTGACTTCCATTTCTATCCTTTGTTCTTCACTCAGTACTTCCTTTTTCTTATTGTTTCCCTTTATTCCATCACTTTTCCTTCCTGAAGTCCTTTCTTTCTTCTCCCCACCACTGTGTCACACTCCCTTTGCCTGCTTGGAAGTCTGTTCATTCCATTTGCAGAGACTTTTTATTTTCCTTGACATGACTTCTCCTCTTTCCTGCCTGCACATTCTTATGGGATGCTTCCCTTTCTTGCCCACAGGTTCCACATCTCCTGCTTTTCTCTGTCTTCACACCAGCTTCAACTCCTTTTATTGTGCCTTTGTAGAGGCTCCAAAGTCCTGGCACCTTGGCTCTGGGAACGAGAAAGCCTTCCAATTCTATAACTCCTGCATGGACACAGATGCCATTGAAGTGGCAGGAACTGGTCCCCTCAAACAAGTCATTGAGGAGGTAAGGAAGTATTGGGCATCATCTTTTCAGGAGAAGTAACCCACAGGGCTGATGTGAGCTTGAAGTTGCTGGGCATTTGTTCTTCACTGTTGGCTTGTGTGCTAGAATTCCATAAGTTGTAGGAGGGAGATGGTAATGGCACTGCCTTGAGGAGCATCGTGACCTCCTGTGAGGGTAAGGAAGAATAGATGCGAAGTCCTACAGGGATCAAAATCAGGAGACGGAAGCTATGAGAGGAAGGAAAAGCCCAGGCAATGGGGGATAAGTCTCATAGATCCTATGCTCTACCTTCTCTTCAGCTTGGAGGCTGGAACATATCCGGCAAATGGACTTACTCTGACTTCAACCAAACCCTGGCCCTTCTGATGAGTCGGTATGACTACTTTCCATTCTTCAGAGCCTACCTGAGGACTCATCCTTCCCCTCCACATGCACCAGTCATCCAGGTGAGAGATCCACTGGCCAAAGCACTGGGACCTGCTGGGTCTGCTCCTGCCTCTACCTTTAGTGTGTTTTCCCTTAGAGGAATATAGTACACTGGGGAGATAAGACGCATGGGAGGGAGATAAAGAGCTGTCTTATCTCCAGAGTAAGTTAGTGCTGTGAGACCCAAGGACACTAGATGTGGAATGAGAGGCAGGGTAGGGCCAGTTCTGGGAAGACTGGCGTGGCTCCAGCCTCCCTTATCACTGCTCCAGATTGCTCCAGGACCTCTTAACTAGTTCTCTCTTCCTCATGACTGCCATCCTCTGATTGCCTTTTCATTTTTGCCAGTAGCCGCTTTCTAAATCAAGAGCTAATTATACTATGTTTTCTGTCTAAATGCCTCCTATGTTTATGGGCACCAGGTCATTGGTCCCGATGTTTAGCAAGGCATTTTAAGTTTTTGTGGTCTGATCCCTGTATACTTCTCCAGCTTCTCCTCTTGTCCCATTCTTCCTCTCTTGCCCTGCTGACTCACGTGGAGCTCCAAGAATATTCCTCCATCATTCTCAAATGCTGTTCTTTTCACTTACAGTGACCCCCATCCTCCCCCCCCACACACTCAGCCTAGAAAACTCTGACATGCTTTTAAACTGTTGCTTGCTTTGAGCACCACTTCCAGAAAATCCTCACCTATCTGCTAGCTACCAGTAGTGAAGCCTTTCTGTCCTCTTGGTTCCTTGTATTCTCAGCATTAAGACTGTGGGCCTCACCTGCAGTGCTGGCCCCAATCCTGGGGCGTGCTGAGGCTGTGATTGAGACTGGGCATGGTGGTGCATGCCTGTAATCCCAGCAATTGGGAGGCTGTAAACAGGAGAATCACTATGAGTCCAATCTAGTAGTGAGAACCTGAAGACCCTGTCAGCCCTTCCCTAAAAAACAGAAAATAAATAAATAAATAAATAAATAAATAAAGATAGAAGAGTCACCAAAGGACTGTGTCACTTTGCTTTGGCTTGAGAAGCAGAGAGAGAATGAGCTGAGGTGGAGGGCCTGGGAAAGAAGGGGAGAAAGAGGAGAAAGAGCAGGGAGGGAGGTGGGAACTGGACCAGCATGAGGAGGGGGAGACTGCAGAGGGCAAGGGAGGAGCCTCAAAAAGGAGAGTTCACTGTGGCTCCCAGAGATGCCCCTCTCGGAGAACAGGGAATGAGAAGACACCGGTGGAAGCCCAGATGCAGCATGAAAATGGTTACCTCAGTGGACACAGACCGTACAGTGTTTAGGGGGTGGGCATCGCTGCCTTTTTACTCTCAGCAATTTGGACCTTGTCACAAAAGGGTGGAGTGGAGATTCTATGTGACAGAAAGAAAGCGGAGACTTACATTTGGAGTGAGGTGCTGACACCGAGAGAGACAGCACGGTGACTCAGCGATCTTCAGAATCCCAGGCACGCTGGCACTAGAACCCACGTGACATGTGTGGGGCTCTTGCCTGGGAAAAATTTTAGAAGCCCCTCAATACTGAGTGTCAAGACAAATAGTCTTTTAATAAATATTCTTAAAAACCAACGCCAATAAAAATTCCTGATGAGCAAATAGCAAGTTGTCAATTCTGGGTGTTTTGGAAGATTATTATTATTTTTTTTTTAGAATGTAGAAAAAACGATTTTGAACCTTTAAAAATACGCTATTTTTAAAATAGATCAGAAATACACTGTGAGTTAGGGCATGGGGGAATTACGATGGAGGTTGAGGCAAGAGGATTAGAAGTTTGAGGCCGTCAGGGGCAACCCAGTAAAATCCTATCTCAAAATTAGATGAAAAGAACTGGAGATGGAGCTCAGGGTCAAAGCACATAGGTAGCCAGTGTGAGGCCCTGGGTGCAGTCCTCAGTGTGAAACTGATGGGGAAAATCGTGATAAAGAGAACTTTGGTAATATATTCATCACAGATTTTTGTTTTAATTTTGATTTTCAACATTGCATTAAACTATGCATCCCTTTGACAAAATTTGGGGTACCCTTTAATTATTGCACCTGAGATGGGGATTGCGCACTTAGACCTGACCCAAGAAGGAGCCAGGAGTTCTTCCAAGGTATCAATCAATATGCTGCTTTTGTTCCGAGCTCGCCCGAACTGGTCAGAACTGACGGTCAGAACACCGTTTCCTCCCATTGCCATGACTGGACATTTCCCTGGCCCCTACCCCAGTCTCACCCTCCCGAGCTTTGTCCCCTTCTTCACCAGCAGTGCTACACCCTTCTCCCCAGGCCGTGTCCTTCGTCCCCACCTTCCCTTGACTCCCTCCCCCGCACCCCATGCTCCTACTTCTTTCCAGTCTCTCTTGTGTCTAGATAGATCGGCCAGAGTTCGACGTTCCCCTTAAGCAAGAGCAGGAGCAGAAGATCTATGCCCAGGTAAGAGGATGCTTTGACAAAACCATCTGAAACCAGGAGAAAAGCAGGGCACCTGGCTCCTGTGACCAAAGTTATCTTCCTCCAGGTCATTCGGGAGTACCTGTCTTACCTCCAGCAGCTGGGGACTTTGCTGGAAGGGGATCCCCAGAAAGTGCAGCAACAGGCCTTCCTATCCATCTCCATCACCTCCCGGCTGTTTGAGTACCTGCGGCTCCTGGAGCAGCGGCAGTCACAGGACAAGCTCTTCCATGTGCTCACTATTGATGAACTGCAGGTGCTCGCTTGGAGCTCACGGCCCCAGCCCTGCGGGCAAGAAATCTCTTGATTTTTTTTTTTTTTTAATCATGCCTGCCTCCTCCTGTGACCCTTAATTCTTTCCAGTCCCTAACTTTCTCCGGCTCCAGCCCCTTTCTGAGCAACAGCCCCCCCCCCATCCCATTCTTTCTTAGGCCCAAGAAACCTCGTCCTCTTTCTTGTTTCTTCCCTTCCTTCCCTCCATCAGCTTTGTGTCCTTCCTCTAAGGAAATGGCCCCTGCCATCGACTGGTTATTCTGCTTGCAAGAGACATTCAAACCGATGTCCCTGAGCCACTCCCAGGCCCTAGTGGTCCATGACCTGGACTATTTGAGAAACATGTCACAACTGGTACAGGAAGAGATGCTGAAGCACAGGTTTGCCCCAAATGGCCCTGGGAGGTAATGGGATGGAGAGGGAATCTGGAAATTCGTAAGTCTTGGGGACCCTGAGCACCCTTGGTCGAGGGACCTGGTACACATGTGTGCAGAGAGGGTGGATGGTGGGAACAGATGTAGGTAAAGCTTGGGAATGAGGGGAGGGATGACATGAGGTGGCAAGACAAGACACAAGGTCTACTGGAAGTTAAGAGACTCTATCAGTCTGTAAAGAGATTCTGTGCTGTAGAATGTGCTAGAAGGTCCAGTCAGTGGGACAGCTGAGGGCTGAGAACAAGACCAAGAGGCCCCTGAGATGAAATGAAGGAGGTAGGGGCTGGGGATGCTCTGCTGAAGATCTGGGAGAGGCCGTTTCTCAGCTGTGGAGCTCCATGGGAAAGAATTTCCAAGGTCGTTTCCTCTGTTATGAGGAAGTCAAGGAGAGTGGTGCCTGGGGGAAGTCAGGTCAGTGGTAGCTCTGTAAGTTCCCTGATGGCTGTGAGACCATCACTTGGAGACAGGAGCTTCCTGATAGGGGCTTAGGCTCCAGGCCTTTCACCATAGTAACTCAGAAGCAGCAGTGGCTGGGTATCCTGTTTGGAGGCAGAAAAGGAACATGAGGGCACCTGGTTCCTTTTCCAGGTTGGCATGAGGGCACCTGGGCACAGAACTGAAAACAAGGCAGAGGGGAGTCACAGAGCCCAGCTTTGGGATGCTTAGGGGACACATCCTTACATGAGCAGGGGCTTCTTGGTTGTGGAAATAGGTTGATCATTGTTTTTGGTCTGAGTCCAGCCTCCCTCTAGCCCAGGTCCTTTTCTGCCTGTGGCATGAGAAGGCCAACTCTTCATCCAGGTCTCTTCCCCTCTCATTTTTCAACCCACATTAAGACAGGCTCCTTATCATCCTTTGTGTGTCATGACAATTGTTCTTTATAGATACAGGAAAGGATTTGCCCCCAGGAATGCCAAAGTGATTAACGTGTGCAAGATGAGTTTCTAGGAAGGGCATCCTCAGAAGCCTGGTGTTTATGTGGGATCTCTTTTGTCTCCCTAGGGATGTTCTGCAGAGTCACATGATCTTGGGGCTGGTGGAGACCCTTACTCCAGCCCTTGACAGTAAATTCCGGGAGGCTCGCAGAGAACTGAGCCAGAAATTGCAGAAACTGACAGAGCAACCACTCATAGTAAGGACAGATATATTTTTAAGAGTGGGGAAAATACAGGCACATTTCTATCAAGGAACGGGCAGGGAAGTAGAGGCCCTTTTGTGTCTCGCTTTGAACAGAGGCAGAAGGAACACAGAGTTTAATCTGAGAACCGAACTACCAGGTACCAAACCTTCAGGAACAGACCTCATGGTCACCTCTAGATACTTCTCTCACCTTTATTATATAGCTGAAACTATAAAGGGTTGCTCTTGTTGTCTCATTAATCTGAAACTATTTGCTACATGGTTTGAAGATCTGGATCAGGAGTTTAGTATTCACTGGAGGAGGGCAGATCCTGTTTATTAATATGTGTTTGGGGTACATAGTGATTGCAATCATTGTGGGCACTTGGTACAAGTAGTATATCTTGACACTTTTTCCATGCCTTTCCCCTGCTTTCCCATGAGTATGCCTGTAGTGCTGTAATACGATTCCTCTATCTCCTTTAAGAAGATATCTAGAAGTCCAATAGCTGGGAATTTCTGCATTTAGTTTCTCAATACATCTCCATTCTGATTTCCATAGTGCTTATACTAGTTCACATGCCAACCAACAATGTAGAAGGCTTCCTTTTTCCCTACTGCTCCACTCACGTGTGTCTTTAGATTTCTTGATGATGGTCATAGATGAAAGCCCAGTAAGGGCCCCTGATGTTGAACATAATTTCATATATTTGCTGACACTATTTCTTCTTCTGAGAAGTATCTATTCATTTAAGTTTCTCCTTTTTTTGATTATGTTATTTGGCGAAGGGTCTAGTTTTGTGGCATTCTCTAGATTTTCTAGATATTAGACTTCTGTCCTAGAGATAGCTGGCAAAATTTATTTCGCATTCTGCATGGCATCTCTCTACTCTGTTGCTTGCTTCTTTTCATGGGTTGAAGGATTTTTTATTAGATAGTGTCCCATTTCTTGATTCTTGGTACTGTGTCTTATGCCATTGGGGTTTTGTTCAGAAATTCCTTGCTTACACCTGTGTATTCAATAGTTTCACCTATTATATCTTCCAGCAGGCCAAGTGTTTCTGTCTTAATGTCTAGATTTTTGATCGTTTTATTTTACTTTAGTGCATGATGAGAGGCATTCTTCTAGATCCAAACTTTTGCATGTGTGTAGCCAGTTTTCCCAGGAGCATTTGTTAAGGATGCCATCTTTCCTTCAGTATATGGTCTTGGCCCTTTTGCCAAAGATCTGGTGGCTGAGTGGAGTTGTTCCTGCATTCTCTATCCTGTTCCACTGATCCACTGGTCTGTTTGCACCAGTGTGCCACTCTGCTATTGTCACTGTGTCTTTGTAGAATAACTTGAAATCCAGTATTGTGGCATCTTCTGCCTTGCTCTTGTTAATCAAGTTTGTTTCACTTCCTCTGGATCTTGTCTGGTTCCACATGAGCTTTAGGATTCTTTTCTCTATTTCTGTGAGGAACGTGTTGTTATTTTGTTTATAATTGCATTAAAACCATTTATCAGTTTGGGGAGTACGGTCATGCTGATGGTGTTCACTCTGCCTATCCAGGAAAGGGGGAAGTCTATTTTCTGATGTCCTCTTTCTCTGTGTTTTATTGTTTTCATTGTATAGGCCTTCTTACTTCCTTGGTTAGATTAAGGCAGAGGTGTTTCATTCTTTCCTGGTCAATTCATTATTGGTATGCAAGCACACTATTGGCTTTTGTGTATTGATTCTGTATCCTGCTATAATGCTGAACTCAGTGATTAATTTTGGTGGACATTAATTAATTAATTAATTAATTTGGTGGAAAGGAGTCTTTTGGTGGAAATTTTTTGGGTCTTCTGTATAAGTGATCACAGCATCAGCAAATAATTTGATTTCTTCCTTTCTTATACATATTCCTCTTATATCTTTCTCTTGTCTGATTGTGCTGGCTAATATTTTAAGTATTGTACTGAACAAGAGTGGTGATAATGGACATCTTTGTCTTGTTCCTGATTGTAGAGGAAAATCTTTCAGCTTATTTTCATTTAATATGATGTTGGAGGTAGATTTGTCTTTAGCAGACTAAGATAAAGTGCTTCTATACATATTTTCATCAAATATATATACATATAGATACACATATTTCATCAAATATATATATATATATATATATTTTAATCAAGAATGGATGTTGGATTTTGTCAAAGGATGTCTCTGTGAGAGAAACGTGTTAAACAGTAGTTCTAAGTTTGACCTTCAAATGTGCTTTACAAAAAGTTCAACTCTGATCTCATGCATTCAGTTAAGTAGTATGTGGGCTTCATGGTTCAGATCGGAATATACTGGAGGAAGGGACTGCACAGGAAAGTCACTTCACAAACCAGACTCTACTCTGCTACTCAAGAGGCAGAGATTGTGCTTTATGAACAACCTTGAAGTCCTAGGTCTAGTATATCCAAATACAACTGGATGCATTTCCAACCACAGGGATAATCTTTGTTTAGTCTTGAAAATAATTTTTTAAAAAATATTTTGAGAATCATTCCTCTGCCTTGAAGAAATCTCAGTTATCTAAGGAATTCAGGGAGGGCAAATGTATTCACAGACACTAGCATGTAGTTACTGGTTATTGAGAGCTGAAAATGTGCTAGATCGCTTCCTGAAATCTTTCATCTGCTATTGGGTCAAATCTTGTAAATTCCATGAGGTACCACAGGTATGATTTTTATCTTTCTCTAAAAGATAAGAAATGAGACTGGGTATGGTGGTGTGTGCCTGTAATCCCAGCTCTTGGGAGGCTATAAACAAGCAGATCATTATGAGTCCGATCTAGTAGTGAGATCCTGAACACTCTGTAGACCCTTTCCTAAAATACAAAAAGGAAAGAAAGAAGAAAGGAAAGAAAGAAAGAAAGAAAGAAAGAAAGAAAGAAAGAAAGAAATAAGAAATTCATGCAGAACAACTAGGAATTTTGACCATAGAAGTATGGCAGGTAAGTTGTTAGAATAAAATATGAATCCTGGCCATTGGGTGCAGGGTGTGTGTGGTTACTCCTCGTACTACAGAGTGCTGGTTAAAGCTAACCCAGAAGCTCTTGCCCAGACTTACTCTTCACTCAGATGTGGGAGAAGAGAAACCCTCTCCTCTTTGTGGGCTTACTTCAAATTTCCTGGCACCAAACAACTTCCTTTAAGTTCTGGCACCAGGGCCTGACATCATGTCTTGGACGATGTTAGATGCCAGCAGTGTGATTCATGCTTCAGGAATGTAGAAGGCTTACAGGTACTGAAATCACCATCCTTTCCAACAGGAAACCTAATTAGCTTTGAGCTTAAAAGCTGAATCAAGCTCTGGAAACAAACAGAGTCATGACTTTGGACAGGTCACCTTACCTTTCTCCAGCAACAGCCCAGAATATAGAATGATGGTAAAAACCAAGACACACAGTACCTAGCTTCAGGTACTGTGTGTAGGATTTAGCATAGGTTATTTTAATCAGTTCTCCCATAAACGCTCAGGGGATTTATGCCCAGCTTTACAGATGCAAACCTGGCACAGAATGGCCGCATTATAGCCTCAAAACAAATTGCTCCTACGGGAAGGAATGGACTCTAGGATAGTTCTGTTTGGCTCATGAGGCTGCGTTCTTAGCCACATGCTATAGAGGACTGAGAAATATGTGCCTGCTAGAAAAAGAGGTTGGCATGCTTCCCTAAGAAGGGTAAGATAGGAAGCATTTGGCCTGGTGTTTTACATGGTTTGTGTTACTACTACTGGACTTCAGCTTTATAGCCAAGAGCATTATCTGTGTTCATGGTGAGTTCTGGTCTGTGATCATGGTGAATTCTGCTTTAGACGTTATGTAATTCTGAGGACCCTAACAGAGGGCAGGGAGGGAGGGTTGGAGTGTTCATGGAATCTTTGCCGTAGGTAGAGCAGTGATAAGTCTAGAGAAAGAACAGAGTTTTTACTCTTTTTTTTGCTTCTTTTTGGGGGGAGGAGCAGTTAAATCCAGAGATCTGATCTCTCCTATTCCATGGTCATTAATCACAAAGCTCTGAAGGAATGCTAATGCTAATTGACAGTGTCACAAAAGGTTGCCAGCCCTCGTCATTTCTACATCTTTGGTGGTTATTTTAGAATACATAGTCAATGAAGTGGCTGATGAGTTAGGATTTTTATTTTCTATTTTTGAAGAGCAGAGTTTATTTCTTGGGGAAAAGAAAGCTTCTGTCCAAGAGAGGAACAGAAGGGGACCTGAGTGAGCTGCCAAGGATTCTGCCCTTTCTGGGGATTTTTTTTTTTTTTTTTTTTTTTTTGGTAGAACCAGGGATTGAACTCAGGCCCTTGTGCTTGCCAGGGAAGCGCTTGTTCCACAAGCCATCTCCCTGGCCCCATTTCTGGGGATTTTTATAGAGCAAAACCATGAGATGAGGCCGATCTAAGGTGGAAAACATGGTAACTGGCAAGGTGGGCATGAGGTGGGACAAAACTATGGCCAACCAATACGATTATCAGCACAATTGTTTAGGTAAAATTGATTAAATCTGGGATCAAGTGGGGAATGGAGTCACATAGCAAGTGGGCATGAATACAGAACAGGGGTTCTTCCTGTAGGCGGTTGGGTTAGGGACTCTTCCTGGCTTTTACAAGGTGATTGATACCTATTTAAAATAGTAACCCCAGACGTCAGTCCTTAGGGGCCCCAGCGGGAGTGCCTGACTCTCTCTTTAGTTGCCGGGTATCTGGGAATTAGGTTTTTCTCTCATGAAACTTCAGTAGCCAGGCTTGGGGACATAAAAGTAAGATTTTGTATGCATACTTTTCAAAAACAAGGTATTTATATTAAGCTCCGCACCCCAGTTTATTCACCAAGTTAAATTTTGTTTCAGCAATCCATTACCTTTCTTGTTCGATTCTGGGGCATTTGCAATTTTATTTAAACTTCTGCTCTTAGGATCCTGCAGGGGACAATGGAGTACTGGGTCAGGTAACTGACAACTTATCCAATTGCTCCACTCAACCATTTATTCATGCGATAAATATTCTTTGAGCAACTACTACTTGCCATTACTCTGGAGGCACTTGGGATTCACTAGTGGACAAAATCATGAAGCATCCCCGTCTTCAGCCCTTTCTACTCCTTTTTACTCACTCCAGTGCAGGAAGAAAGAGAATTAAAAAGAGCACGTTGAGTGGTGTTAGGAAGAGCAGCAGATGAAGACAGGGATGCGGGTGTAGAGCAGTTAGGGTTCCCGGGGCAGAGCTCCGAACTCTGCGTCGTTCGTCGCTGATGACTCACAGTAATTCAGCCAGATGAGGGTCCATTCGTGCTCTGTCATTTAATCTTAATTTCTCTACCTGGTTCACTAGGACTTAATCTGGGCTTATACCAGGTGCCTTGTTGAACTCTAGATAGCATCGACATCGACGGGCTGCAGAGTAATGAGGGTAAGCAGAGTAATGCGAAAGGAATTTCAGTGGAATTTAAAACAGACGCAGCACTTTCAAGTTATTATTTTACCTGATGTGCGAATCCGTGCGGAAGGCTTTGACAGGCATTTTTCTCTTTTTCGTTGCTGTGGTAGCTAAAGCAGGGTACCATGAAGAAAGAGCCGGATAAATTGGTAAACACTTGGGTCTGGGAATGGCCCAGATGATTTGGTAAACGCTGGATAATTTGCTCAGGGAGAACATTGGTGGCCCTAGCAGATCAAAAGGCGAGAGATGTGTTTTATTGCATTGTAGAGTAATTTACAAACGCTGAATTCATTGTCAAAATTCAAATGTTAGAAGATGATATGCCGCTATCAGACTGTCCATACTGCGTGTGTTTCTCGGTGTGTCTGCATGGAGAGTTCTGTCCTGCTGGGCGGTGTCCTCCAGTGACAACCTGTGCCGTGCTTCGGTGTCCTAGCTCAGTTCCAGTGGGTGCGCTTGGAGGTTGGCTGAGGCCCTGACAGGTCCTGGGCTTCTGGTGTTGGCTGCGCCTCTCAGTCACGTTCCTGCATCACTTCAGCTTCAGTGTGTGGCTTTTACTGAGTCTTACGCCACACTCAGCTGAGCCTTTTGACCAGAGATATTTGTATTGTTTTGGTATTAATTGTTCTCAGGAACCTCACCTTGGACATTAATAATTACACATTGTTTTTCAAGTTAAAAAATATTTATTTAATGATTCATTCTACCATTTTGTTAAGGCTTTGACATTAATGATTCCTGACTATCCTGTCATCTCAAATTCTATTTTGGTCCTGCTGAAGGTTGGCCAAATTTTTGCTTCCAAACAGATTCTTGGAATTTTTCCTGATTGCTATCTTTGTCCTAAATAATCTTATTCATTGGTATATGCAATTTTTTTT